GCCCGGAATCGAGGCAGAGCTAATCACAACCGACAGCGTCAACATGAATGTTCCGCTAAACCCAATCGGAATCCGTCGCCGTCTTCTGGTGGGATCGACCTTTAAGTTACTCCACCAAACACTTTCACTCGAAATGAAAGTAAGCTCAGCAATTATGGAACAAGAGATTCCTCGGTGTGATCCACTTTTCCAACTTGGACGTGTTGTCGGGGCTACTTGATTGAATGTACCTTATCCGAAGTCATAATGTCCTGCGTTGGGTCATATATTTTGCCCATTCTCAGACATTTCGCCGGCATCGTCAGTGAGTCTTGTGATTCTCAGCACCACTTCCAGCTAAAACTCGTCAAAGAGATATCACAATTGGTTAAAGGACCGTCTTCACTTTTGTATTTGACGAGTTGGCGCGATGCCGGCGAAACGTCTGAGAATGTGCTTAAAATGGAAACGCACATACCATTCCGCCACGTAGACACAGGATTCTGAATTATTTTGGGGAAGAAGGCTGTATGAAATTCATGGAAACAATGAGGATTTGAAATCATATGATTATAGGAAATACGACCTCAGTTTTTATCTGATCGTAGTTGCAATCAAAAACAGCCAACCACATTGCCAGCTGGCATATTGCAACTCGATCGTACCTCTCCACCTCAAAAGAGGAGCACTCGAGATCACTACCTGCCCGTCCCGAATCTAAAGTGGCAAGATCTTGAAGAATGAACCGGTTCTGATTAAAAGCAGAGAATGACGCTTTCTACAATCGCCAACGCCTAACCTGGTCTGAATCCCACTTGGCGACAGGTGGCGGCAAACTGTGATGGCGACCCGAAGTCTCCGAGTGAGGAGGTGACAGCTGAACTGGTACCAACGGTCCTGCGGGTGACTGTCCGAGGCGTCGGACAAGACTGCGATGTCGCCTGAATTGGCGCTCGGTGGGTGGGCAAGGGAGGTTGGATTTCAGGCGCAACGACTGGGCGAAAATACAAGAAAAAGATCATATTTAGACTTTATAAAAAGATTTTTGTAATTTCTATTTTCATTTACAAGACGGATGAAGGAGATTCGTAACTTGGCCTTACCCCAAAAGTCGACATAGAATGGCACTGTTCCCTTGTACTTACATGTCTTCGACACGCAATCTTGCAACCATCGCCAATTGATGTTATGCTTGCGTTACTTCTGTCATAAAATATGTTCATAAAAGCGTAAAACAATCGTATAGTTCCAGTTTTGAACCTACCAGTCTTTCATGTATAAGAATATAGTCAGTTCAGATAATCTAAGGTGATTTAAAGGCGCATGAGAACTTAGTCTCGAAATCTATTTGAGTAGTAAATATAGACAGCTAATTTAGTTGTACCATGCGGGTCGTGAGTATCGCGATGAGGTGGGCAAACCATCATACAGTCATATTACACTAAGTTTTCTATTCAAGAATTAGTGACATTCGAGACCTACTTACATCGAAAATAAGTAGGGTCATCGATTTCAACATCAAATATGCAGATTAACTTATGTTATTTCTGCTTAAAGTAAT